GTCCATGATCGCCCATCAGCTTCGTACCTTGCACTGAAGACCGTTTTTACTGATGATAAGTTGTTCATTAAACTTCTACCAAAAAACGCTCCATATAAAGAATTTGTTCGGATTTAAATCGGCGGAGTTGAAGGACCAGAAGTTTTTGGTTCATCTCAGGTGGAGGTGCCCTACACAATAACATGTCGTCCTCACTGCAGTACCAGCACGGACAGAGTCCTCGTAAGACGTGATCTGGACCGTCAGTGATCCTCTCTTCCGACGACTCCACGTGAGTCTGCCAGAGTGTGGATGTATTTACCAGAGGTGCTCGTTTTATCCGGGCTCGATGAAGTAGGGTGCACCACGTGCACCTCCCTTGAAGACCACCCATAGGTCCATCACCTCAACAGGATGTTTACTTTGCATGACCGCTGCAATATTCTCGATACAATCCCCTATATGGCATGCCATTCTTTTTTATCGTATTCCAGTCGGTGATAAGATTTTTGGTCGCTGAAGTTTTGAACATTGTTTCTTTTTAATATGCTCAAGAGCTTCTTCCTTATATTCAAGTGAGTCATCTTGTATGTCCTCTGCTAAGAGTTATTTTACGACGATTACGTTAACTTTTTGTCCTAAGTATCCCCACACAATCCTTATCGTCCGTGATAACACGTTGACCTGTCCAGCAACCTTTACGTGGAATGGCATTGTTTTAAACAAAATGTTCTTGTTTTACTCGTTTAACATTAGTGTCTATGGGCGCGCGCAAAGCACTTGGAGCACCGTCGAACTATTTTGCTGCTCTTTTCCAGGAAGTTGCATGCTCATGGATGTAGTCATGTCAGATGATGCACAACTTTTGGGCGTTTCATTGCCATGATATAATTTATCAAAATAATGCCATGCCTACTCATGACCAGAGCCCAAAAAGCATTCCCGATTATGCTGCCCCACCCTGTATAGCGCGCTGAAAGTGGGTTCGATAGCTCTCTAACTCGTGCAATCAGCCATGGGGGGGGGGGGGCGTATCGGCCAAACCCGATCATAATTTAAGACGGCTAGAAAGACGAGAAAAGCAACGGATAGCTATAGGATGCTTCAGAATCGTATTGGTCATTTTTCGATTAGGTCATCGCTGAGGTCATTGAAGATGAAATTATGATAAAATTATGATAAACACAAAGACAAGATAACGACGAAAAAATTCTTGTTTTTATATTTTTCACAAATAACCGTATAACTCGTGAACCAAAGAGCTAGAGCTTTGCGGAACAACTCATTCGATAGGCCTTTCAAAACGCTTTCGCTTTTAAGATTTGACCTCAATGCCTCATGTCAATGGTTTGGCAACAGAGCAGAGGGTAAAACCGGCAAAACCATCTAAATAGTCGCATTTTACCAAAACAGTTTTGCTAAGAATTTTTGCAAGGACTTTGGTGATAAAAACTATGAGACATTTACTTTGTCATCATTCTCTTCTTAACATGCATCGAATGAGCTACCTATAATTCACATAAAAAGCTCAACTTCAAAAGGTGACCGCAGATCAAGGTCATGCCCTTACTTGAGAAGTTCATGATGGTCATCAACCGATCCGTATGGATGATTAACACCTTCAAGACAATGTCATAACGATAATTCTACCTCCTCTCCTATATCAAAAGTAACAGTCGAAAAACTGATGTTGAGCTTTTTTAAAGGGACCCTCCCACCTTAACATTAGATTTGAGTTGAGATAGCCAAAATGGGGTCCCTGGCTCACAATTACCGGTTTCGGCACTCACAACATCGAGAAATGCCTTAAATCGGAAATATTGAATTTCAAAATTGCAGCATTTTGATTCAGAGGGGCTAATGCTTAGGAATACCCCTCTGAATGTGTGACGTCAGCGCAAATATCTAACGATTTTTAAATGTTTGACTAAAACGTTTTGTAGCACGCGGTGGTATATGCTATTTGCGCGCAACATCTGCCGCAAACGCCGCACTTCTAAAATAAAGTCGCTAGAAACAGCGGAGATCCCAAAAAAGTAAACAAAAGTAAAAGTCTAATATCTTGAAAACCGGTGAATATTTTTCGATGAAATTTGGTAGATATTGGTTTTCGCTCTTTCTGAACCGAGCGACATCACTTTCATGCCAATTCATTGACTTTTTTGAAGGTGGGAGGGTCCCTTTAAAAGCCTTTTGACCTAGCCCGACCCTTTGAGTGGCCGCTGGCCATCAATTGCACGCTGTACATCAAATATGGGCAGAATGGTCGTGTTTCTGTAAATATGCTGTTGTTTTTTACGTGCCTCTTCAGATCAAGAGATATTTGTCCTTTTCTCCGATTTGACTGGTAATGATGACAATGATCTGAACTTTCGTTGTTGGTAAGGGGCCCCCATTTGGTTGAGGGGGCCCACTTTGCTGGGGGGCCCATCACGAACGTCTCTCACCCCCGTCGCCAGAGTTCTGGCTGCGCCACTGTCCCCTGGACTATATAGTTACAAGACGTCAGCAGTGCTGTGAAGGTCGCAAGGTTACGCTTTGATTATTTTTGGTCCAGCAGAGCCCAGAGGTCAGGTGACCAGACACTTTTCCGAGGTCAAAGACAAATTGCCCTTATTTTGGTTCGCGGTCAACGGATAAGCCTCCATAGAGCAAAACCGTAAAATGAAACGCTTTGTGCGAGAGTCGCTTTCTGAAATATTTTTTAGGCATAATATTTGTAAAAGCTTTTCATAGCCATCCAACATCATGCCGCCAAACCACCCATCCCCGTTGATCGGTAGTTGGAAATTAAACAAATGAGCGCCAGTTGCGAACAGCGACTGAAAGCTGCTACTATACCCATAACAAGTAATGGTACAAAAATAATCCTGCGACCTCGGGAAGATAATGCCTGCAAGAAACATCGCAGGCTTCGTCCGTTACTTCAATATGTTTGAATGCTATTAACCGTCCGTGAGACAAATCCATCCTAAATTTATTATCGACCAAGGAAAAAAGCATTCGACAGCATGAGAAGACAAAGTGAAATCAGCTTCTGCCAGATCCCAAGATATGCAGCGCAAATCACAAGATCCCAATGTTAATGTTCAAATCCCAAGATCTTGGGACAAATCCCAAGGAATGGCATCGCTGCTGTGGACAACTATCTGCTGCTTTCCTTGCTATTTCATGTAAGGCGTTTTTCAAGATATGGATATCGCTAGCAGCAGAAGCAGAAAACATGGAAAGCTTGAAATGTCATTGGGTACTTTTGCGACTTTTACGCATCATCATCATCAATTGAAAATGAGCGAACACTTCTTGGTTGTCGCAGCTGCGGCAGGTAGCGATTCTGACCAATTGTATAATAAAACATATATGATCAAGTTTTTATTTTGTTTTTCGTTCGAATTTTCAGATTTCGTGATTTAAGTTTTATTTTTTATTTGTTTCATTTTGTTTTTCACCTTTATACTTACTTAAAAACGTATTTATTTGATATACTGTTGTGTATACTACCTAGATGCCGCCACATAATCATAGCACCATGATCGCAAATTTTGTTGAGAAGGGGCTGGTTTGTTGTGATTTATTTTGACAAATTTATGGACATTTAAAGAAGCTTTCATCGCGAAATACTCTGTAGAATTCCTCGTTACTTACAGTGTGTTCGTGAGTATCCTTTTAAGGTTCTGTTCGTTAAAAAGCCGTCGGTGAAGGAAAAAAGACTGTTGGAATTGTCTCACTATCGCCATATATAAGTGTTAAACTTAATGTAGCCCTGTAGCCCATCATTGTTGAGTGGCTTCTTAGTTTTTGGAGTTGTAGTGCTAAGTAAGTTATTCTGATAACTACATTTTAACTTTTATTAACAAACTAATGATGCTAGAGATTCTCTGATCTTTTTGGTTGCGGAATTTTTATGAAAACCCTCATGTGTGACATGATGTGATATTGGATAATTCTCAACATTCCCAAAATTCAATATCAAGTAGGTTTTCTTTCACATTGCTTAAATTTGGTTTAGTTTTAGTATTTTCCCAGTGGGTTTTGCTTGCATCAGTTTCCAAATTTTCTTAAATTGACAGTCGCAAAACCCATAGTCCACAAAGCTCTTGGCCCGGCCCGTCCACAGCCCGTTAACTAATGATATTTGGGGGCCCGGCCCAGCCCGTAGCCCAGCCCGGCCCATGGCCCGTTGGGCTGGCCCGGCCCGTGGCGAACACTGTCTCCATCAAAAGTTACTGTGGATAAACTACTGGTGACATCTTATGACCTAGCATGACCTTTTGAGTGACCGCCTGCCGTCAACTGCACCCTGCCTATTGAAGAGGTACAGAATTGTCATGTTTCTGTAAAGATCTAATGGTTTAATGGTTTGACATGTTTGTTCAATGCAGGAGGCATTTATACTTCTCTCCTATTGCCTTATAATGATGAGTTCACAAATCTGAGCTGTCAAATCAAAATCAAATCAAATCAAAATCAAAGAGTGAGGTGACCTCTGGTCTCATATCTTGAAAATCCGATATGTAAAGATTATTGATGCTGATACCTTAATGCAATACACCGGGTCAATAAGCTGTAGGAATGACAGGATCATAAGCTCTGTGACATGGTTACTTAACTTGACCTGGTGCCATGACCTTAGGTGACCTCGAGTCAAAACTTTTACTGACGACGCAAATTTAAGGGATGATGAGCTATACAGAATTTCGTGGCACTACACCTCGCAGTTTTTATACTATACACACAAAATAATAACTAAAAAATGTGGCCAAAACTCCCCCCCCCCCCGGGGGTGAAGGATAAGCGATGAGTTTGCCCCCACCATGACTAATCACCTATATCACACTGACTGGCTAGATCTCGGCGTCCATCTGTCAGCGCGCCCGACCGGGTCTATCGACGGTGACCATCGACCCAGCGTTGCCGGAGGAGCTGGCGCGCTGCCGCCGCCGCCGGCGGCGACACTAACGGCCGGCCGCCGATCGATGGCCCCGGGCGCCGCGCCGCGCCCCGCCGCCGGACCCAGTGGCGGCGCTGCGGCCATGGCCGCCGCCGGCCGACGCCGGCTCCTCCCGCTGCTCGTCCTCTCTGTGCTGCTGGTCGGCGTGGCCCTGCTGCTGCTGGAGCTGCTGCTGCTGAGCTCCTCCGGGCCGGCGCCCTCGCGACTGCCGCCCCCGCCCCCGCCGCCGCCCCCGCCCGCGGTGACCACGCCGCAGGGCACGGACGCTCAGTGGGTGGCGGTCACGGGCGCCCCGCACAAGCTGCTCGTGTACTCCGCGTTCCTGGACCGTCGCCGGCCGGGCGGGCCGACCGTGGTGGTCGTGGGGGCGACCGTCACCTCTCGACCCGCCCCGCTGTGGTGTCGCGTCCACCTGGAGGGCGGCCGACCGCCGCTCCTGGTCGACGCTGAGGTGAAGAACATTCGTGAGAACTGGAACCTGAAGTACTCGGCTGTGTTTGTCCTGTGTCCAATGTCCGGAGGTGGCACGGGTGACGAGCGTCCCGTCTCCGTCACGGTAACCGCTGCGCCGAGAGAAGACGCGCACAACCGTTTACTCGTACAGAATAGGGAGCCAGTTGAGGCGCCCTCGCGCAGTATTGGTGTGTGCGTGAAACCCCTTCATTTCCGCTACGACGCTGTGGCACAACTAGTGGAATTTATCGAGCTTCAGAAGCTGTTGGGCGTGGACCGGTTTATGTTCTACAACAGCTCGGTGGGGCCGCGGGTGGATTGTGCTCTGCGTTGGTACGGTGCTCGCGGAGGGGTCACCGTGCTCCCCTGGCGGCTGGATCTGCGCTCACAGCGCGACATACGCACCGAGGGCATGTTCGCGGCGCTGAACGACTGTCTGCTGCGCTCGCTGCCAGTCAGCAGTCACCTAGCGATGCTGGATCTGGACGAGGCGATCGTGCCCCGTATGAACGCCTCTCTCCACGGTCTGTTGGACGCACTGGAGAACGGCGTGGGGAGCCAGCTTCCCGCTGCCTCCTACAGTTTCCAGAACACCTTCTTCTACCTTGGCTGGCCGGACGACGCGTCGGCGGGCAGCGCTCTGACGTCGCTGGCCAAGACGCGCCGCCGGACGTACCGCCACCCGCACGGTCAGCGCAGCAAGTACCTGGCCGTGCCCCAGTACGTCCTGGAGGCGGGCAACCACTTCGTGTGGCAGACGGTGCCCGGCCATGGCACCGTGCACGTGGCACCCGCCATGGCCACGCTCCATCACTACCGACAGTGCGAGTTTGGCGGCCAGGCATGCCTGCTGTCCCCGAATGTGCGAGACACGGGTACACACTGGCTCGGTGCGAAGTTGAAGAAGGCGGTGGCGGCATCCCTAGTGAGAATTAGCGACAGTTGTCCGAAGACAATGGCGGTGAACGAGCAGGACTGGAGGTCACTGATTGAAGCCACGTGAGGTGAGCTTGTGGTGGTGAGGGAAGATGAAAAGCGCCTTCTGTATTAATGTGGGACTAGTGACTGAGAAGATTGAAGACTAATGATCTCGGGGAATAATGCAATGACAGATTTACAAATGCCTGCTTCGTTTGGAAGAGTCGTACACGTATTTAAGAACCGCCAGTTGACAGAGGCATTGTTATCCAATGCCTTAATGTTGTTAGATGCAAAGCTGGTGCAGTGCAATTTCGGTTCCTATGCAACCAGGGAACATTCCCGCTGATGGCCGTGTTTTTGCATTTGCTAATTCTGTTATCTTCTATCTCGATATTTTGTATAGGTTTAAGGCTTGCTTGATTGTGGTTATAGATCTGTCTCAACTAATTTCTGACGAGCTGATTGTAGCTATAATATACCTGTCCAAACTTCTTTCTGACGAGCTACTAAGTGGACGTTGAACAGGATGGAATAAATAACACGTCAAGCGACGCATGTCAGTCCAGAACTGTAAGCATTGGCAGCAGGAGAACAGCTACTTCGTCGATGTTTTAAAACAACGTTTCTATTCTTCTTTCGTCAATTATCTCCCTACCTTCCATTAACCCGCGACCTGGTGGGGGGGGGCTATTTTTTGCACCCCCCCTCCAGACTTTTCGATATATCTCCAGAACCGCTGCGCCGATCGTCACCAAACTTTCAGTACCCTCCCGGACATCAATTTTACACATTGTGACCAAAATTTTTTTCCAAAAGCTATGATAGGTTGGCCGGAAATGACGTCAGAGTGACGTCATGTTCTGCCGTTTTCGACCCAAAAAGGTTTCGCGGGAAGAGCTGTCAGGCCTATAGCATTGCAAATACAGCAAAATGATAAAGACATAAAAGCTGTAGATTTTACAGGGCTACAAAACTGCTATCTCGGATTTTGAAATTTTTGGATTTTGACCCCCAAAAATCAAAAAATAGATTTTTTGGATATAATAATCGAAAAATCCAAGAAGTTTTTTGAACTTCGCAAAAACCGGAATATATGTGATAGTCCTTACCGTCTTCCATCCACATACGAAATTTGAGATTGATACCTCTTTTTTGGCGAAGTTATAGCGAAAAAACTGTTCAAAATTGATGACGTCAAATTTTCAAACTCAATTTTTAGCAATTCTAGACCCCGTAGCGCAAAACGAAGACCACCATTAGACTCCCCGTGACGAGCTGCATCGAATCAATACCCATTTTATGCAAAACTATCAACTTAAAAATTTGACCTTTTTTGGCCTGACCTTGACCTGACCTTGACCTGAACTTCACCAGAACGTGACCTAAGCCGTACCTGATAGTCTTATAACCAACACCATTTAGTTGGAAATGAAAAATTGGCCATAAAACATGTATCACACAACCTTTGTAAAGTTGGGCTCATGTGACCTGACCTGTGACCCTTGATGACCTGACCTGTGACCTGACCTGGTATTGCCAGCCCAGCAAACATGCCCACATGGGTCCCATATGGGGTGAACATGGGCCAGATGGGCCCACGTGGGACATGGGCTACAGATGGGCTACCCATATGGGCCCCATATGGGATAAAAATGGGCCAGATGGGCCAAACGCATGCATGGGCTGGAGATGGGCATCCCATGTGGGTCCCATATGGGGTGAACATGGGCCAGATGGGCCCACGTGGGACATGGGCTACAGATGGGCTACCCATATGGGTCCCATGTGGGCGCCGCGTGGGTCCCATATGGGGCCTACGTGGGCTGACCCATATGGGTCCCACGTGTCACCCACTGCCATTCCCATGTGGGACCCATATGGAAGAGGTGGGGGGCCCATGTGGGCCCCATATGGGAACCATGTGGGCATGTTTGCTGGGAGTGACCTCTAATAGCAACATATCTACTAGGCAACTGACGCCCTACCGCTGATTCTCGACAAAATGCGTTTTCCTCGGTGTTATAGCGCATTCCCTAGAAGACCCGTGAACGGTGAAACATTTCATCTTTGACCTGACCTGTGACGCCATCGGTGACCCCGAGGTCAATGAAATTTGATTTCCTTCGACAAATTTGACAGGCCTTTCGAACGCCGTTTGAATTTTGCGGATCCGTCCAGTAGTTTCGGAGATACGAGGGGGGGGGGCAAAAAATAGCCCCCCCCCCCGCCAGGTCGTGTTATAAACAGACCCCACCAGGGCGCGGGTTAACATGTATTTCTTGTGGGAGGGGAGAAGGGGGAATGCTTTGTTCGGTAATGTGATCAGTCCCTTCCTGTCCCTTCCTCAGCCGGCAGCCCCCTTCCTTGGTTGATAAACCTTGCCATAGATAGAGATCTTTGTGCATTATCAAAACTGATAGCAAGGTCCCCTGCCGCAGATATCACGTAGGATGGCGTGGGTGACAGGTAACGCTGTCGTCTAAATGCAATGAATAATTCCGACTTTGATTGGTGAACTCACTGACACGATTCGCAACTCTGATTTTATATATTCGATTGCTGGTGATACATGGGTTATGCTACATTGTGCGAGACTGGAAAATAGATGATCATACACATCACCACATCATACAAGACGTCCCGCAAGGGCGCACTCAACACTCAAAAGATTCTCAGCTCAATCACTCAACGCTCAGAGGACTCTCATCGCAACATACCATCCCAAATAATAAATAATGCTTATGTAAGTAACTTAGCATAGCTGAGTACAAAACCCTTGCATAGTCACCGAAACGTAACAACTATTATAAGCATTTTGCAGTGCAAAACCGTTCAAATCTCCCTCATTCGGAAGCTTCATTCACTGTCGAGAGTCCTCTTCACATGCTTTGCTTTCGAGAACTGGGTCGTATAGTCGTGAAGGCACCAGCACCGTAAAGTTCAAAACTCCGTGCTTATTTGGCAAATCGTCAGACACTTGGACATTTGCTCAAGCCAATTCGGGTTCAAACCAGGTAAGACACTTTTATCGTGAAATCGCAAGGGACCAAGAGTATACATGAGTCTCATACATAGCAAAACTTTTGCGTACCAAGTAACCGATAACAAACTTTGAAGCCGCAAAGCTGTGCACACGGAGCAGCGTTTTAACACGTGAGTTTCGTCCTGTCTTATAGCCCACCTCAATCTGTCCTCGGCCGTTTGTGGTCAATTATCACACTCTTTTCGCCACTGAATCACACCCATTGTCTCTCGGTTAGCACTATTTTAGCCGGTCTGAAGCGATGTCGTCACTCGTTTTCAATTGTTCCGGATAGTGTCACTCGTCGCTCGGGTCGGCTTCGCATCAACTCCTTTCAGTCGACATTCAACGATTGGAGGGTCATATCAGGCTGATATGCGGATCATTTTGCTTTTCAAAGAGGACATCTTGCAACAGCATGGAATATTCATCGGGAATAATCAACCTGCTTCAGAGAGGCTAGACCTCAGAGACTGAGGTCAAACCACACTGGGCCGTTATGGAATGTTTAAGAGCTTACATTAGCAAAATATTACGTCTGCTTTCGAGACTTCAACGCCATCGTGCTGCCTCCCCATAGATCGAGCGCCGTCGTCCGTCAAGTAAAAGCACCAATGTCGGCAGGGCCGAGTCTTCGTAGGAGCTGTCGAAGATGTCCGGGTCCACAAGTCTAGAGTCTCGGGGTACGCCATCGGAGCTGGCCCGTTGCTTCTGGAGCCAGCATCGGAGCGGGCCCGGAGCCTCAGGAACCATCACTGAAGCAGATCTGGAGACCCTGGAGCCAGCAACGGAGCAGGTCTGGAGCGGGTCCGGAGCTTCCGTATCCAGCGATGAAGCAGGTCGAGAGCCTCTGGATCCAGCGGTGAAGCAGGTCTGGATGTCCTCAAGCAGGCGTCTGCGGCAGCGTCTCCAGATGGTCGCACGACTGGGCCCTGCCACCGCTCACTCGACTGCTGGAGGAAGAACACAACTCGGTGAGAGAGGTGCGGTAGATCGTCCCCCGGATCTGTCGGAGGGGCTACGTATGTCAGATTTCGTGTACGCAGCTCATGAGTCATGCCACCGTGCATGCCTTGCTTATGGTGAAGACTAAAACGAAAGATTACGTCTGATTCAATTGTGCTCACAAGTTCAAGTGGTTGTGAACTCAGCCATACTGTTTTCCTCTATATAGCTTTAGCAACCTCGTGTCAATCATTTTCATAGAATCACGAAACTCCCAAGTACGAGTGAAAATGAAGAAAGACTCCACCGCCATACGGCACCCAGTCCACCCGTCAGCGACAGACCCGTCTCCGTTCATGTAGCCCGTCTTATTACCCTGGGCTAGAGCCGGGTGGTGGTGGTGCATGCGAAGACAGCGTGCGGAGGAGCGGAGGTCATGCACTCGTGTAAGGTCATGCGGCGGCGGCGGCGACGAGCCATGATCTTCTTCGGACATCCGGCCCTCAGCGAACCGCGCCTGGCGTTACACAAACATTTTATGTCAGATATGGGTGGCAAACTGACAAACCGCCATCCTATAGAAAGTCCAGACAAAATAATTGCTGTGCTCATCCGACCCTTTTGCGGGTGTGGTAGTGAATGTCTAAGTTTACATGCTTGACACATCTGTGTTTGGTAGAAGCCGGAGGCCGGCCTAAACACACACTCACAAAATAGGAGGCACATGACTACGAGCAAAGAAAAGGCAATGAACAGAGCCAATTTTTGCGTTGCATTCAATCATGTCTCCTTAGGACGTCACTAGCTATTCAAAACATTTGCTGAGCCCCTGTTGGTCCAAGCACACTTCGTGCTTCAGACCCTGACTATATTAACGCCTTTAACGCCTTTGCTTTTCAATAATGCTTAGGGTCAACTTGGGACTGGTTTGCTCAAGTGGCGCACTGTCAACATTTTTATCACATTCTATTTATGGATAGTAGGGTATAATCGATTAAATTTCATGCTTCCCACGCCTCCATCACCATTTGCACAAAGATCCCGAAAGACCAGTGACCTCAAAAACAGTTCAGAGGAAGACTAGAGCCGGTAGCAGTCAACAGCAACGTCACGTCAACGATACGTCAACGCTACGTCAACATCACGTTAACATCACGTCAACGTCACGTCAATGTCAATGTCATTGCTATCATCGGCTGGCCGGAGAAGAGCCGGCCCGGATGAATGAGGAAGTGTGGGATAGACAATGCTCCAAGACGGCGCTTACCGCTTCTGACGACCTTCGCGGCGCGCAATGTGCAGGGTGATCTCCTGTGAGCGGTACTGTCGGAAGATGTGGATCGTCTCCGGGTGGGAGAGCCCGAACAGCGGAATCCCGTTCACCGCCATGATCTCATCACCTGCAAGTGGAGAGGTACGGTCAGAAGTCTGCTTTCTGAGATCTGTGATTACAGCAAATGCTAGAGGCTCGCCTAAGCAGAGTGGACCGATGTGACGTTTGTTGGGGCCATGAATTTTGTATAACCTACAGAAGTTGGCCGTACCTTCTTTGAGTTCGCCGCTCTCGGCTGCCTGTCCGCCCTCGAATATGGTCTTCACGAAGATGCCCATGTTGCCGCGGGCCGAGTCGCGACCTCCGACGATGCTGAAGCCGAGACTCTTCTTGCCGGTGCCCTTTCCGAGCGCCACGGTGAGGATGGCGGCCTGGGAGAGGCGCGCGCGGCGGCCCACGGCGGCCGGGTCGTAGAGCGAGTGTCGCCGACTGCGGCCGGGCGCCGGCAGGCTGTACGCCGAGGTGACGCTCGAGCAGGTGGAGGCCAGGCTGACGGACGACTCGGGCCGCTCGGCCAGCTCCGGCACGTCGCTCATCGTGTCGTCGCAGTCGGTGTCGGCGGCCACGCAGCCCGAGTCGAGCGAGTCCTGCAGCTGCGCCTCGTCGCCGTGCTCGTAGATGGCGCTGTCCGGGTCGCGGGCGATGACAATGTCCACCTCGTTGGGGGCCTGGCTGAGGCAGGCGCGCGCCTGCTCCAGAGACACCCCGCGCAGACGCGTGCCGTTCACGTTGATGAGCTCGTCACCAATCCGGAAGCGTCCATCTCTGGAAAGGAACAATGAGAGTCAAATCAACGGTGACTGAAACATCTCTGCATTTGCGAATCGACTTTCGTAACCCTAAAGTAAAAACACAGCCTTATTGCGAACCGCTGACTCAACCGCCATCTTCTTATTTGTCCTGCAGAGGACACGACCTGCGTACATCTTGCTTCCGCTTCGGGCACCTGACGACAGAGGGCAGCGAACCTAGCGTTCCGTGTTGCATCACCACCAGCGTCGGCGCGTTTATCACACACACACGCGCGCGCGCTCGAGTCGCGGCGGGCCGGCCGGCCGGACCGGTGTTGTCGGCGGCGGCGGCCACTCACCTGTGGGTCACGCTGCCGGGCACTACATGCACGATCACGTAGCCCGAGGTGCGCCCATCGGCCGTCTGCTTGTTGCCGATGTACATGCCGAGCTCTCCCGTGTTGTCGCGCCGCAGCCGCATCAGCTTGAACTGCTTGTGCGCGAGACTGGCGGCCGCGTGCGGCGCGCTCTGATGTTTCCGCAGCAGCAGGCGCCGGTCGAGCGAGGTGGCTCGCCGGCTGTGCCGTTTCCGATAGCGGGGGAGGGGTGACGATGCGACCATTAGCCGTGACGAGGCCTCTTCGCAGCCTGAGTCGGCGGCGTCGCCGGACGGGGACAGCTTCTCCTCGTCGGTGAGGTTGTCGCCGGCGGCGGCGTCGCTGCTGTCCGAGTCCAGCGAGTCCTTGCCGCTGTCGCTGGCGGCCGGCCGGTGTCCGCCGGCTTCGCTGGTCGCCTCGCCCGCCTCGCTGACCGCCTCGCTGGCGTCGCTGGCCGTCTGGCGGTGGATAACCGTCACTGGCGGCTCGTCGTCGCTGTCCTGGAAGCCGGACGGCGCCGGCAGCAGCGGCACCGGCGACCCGGAAGGCGAGCCCACCGGCGACGAGGTGGCCTCCGGAAGGTCCCACGGCTCGGCCAGCTCGCTGATCGAGTCCACCGGTCGCTCGTCTCTGAAAACGGAAACAGGGAGCAGCCAGTCAGAAAAAGGCAACGGACAGACCCAGACGCGACCAGGAACAAGGAATGAGGAAACGGGAAGTTGCGATGCTGGTCTTGAATACATGGGGAAGAAGCAAGGAACCGGGAAATTTGATCGCTTTGCTATTGTAGATTTGTTGATATTTGTCTGGAGTACACAGACATAAAACAATAACAATGTAATACTGGGCGATTTTTCTTTCTTGCGGATCAAATCAATCGACATACGGGTCGCGACTTGGTGATTCGTCTGGAAGATAGCGAGCCACCAGGACTGGCTCGGCGCGGACCGGTCTCGGACGGAATTGGGGCTAGCTGTACCCGTGGAACCAGTGCCACCGCTCAGATTGGGACCACCGGTGAACGGCCCTGCAGCAACCTTCCACCGCTCAGTGCTACTCGGCGTGAAGGGGACGGCTGCGGGAGGTCACTGCTTTCAGCCAAACCAGAATGGCCGGGTCGTGGTTAAAAATACGGACTCAGCGGGCTACGGGGCTTAACAATTCAAGTTGGCCCTGACAGGTGACATAAAATATTTTCCTCTTACATCGAAAGGTTCCAGGTATTCGTCCTGATCAAGATGGGCCAAAAGTATAATCTTTATCAATTTTACAATGCGGAACACCCAATTCAGGTTATTGATGATCACGTCTGCACCCATATCGTGCGACCCTTCAGAATGTCTCTCCACCGACGCGTCACACCCCGTCTCGCGACTCACCTCCTGGATGACTTGATGAACGCGTACGGGAACCGGTGCGCGGGCGGCGGCGAGCTGGCCGTGCCCGTGGTGGTCACCGTCACCCCGGCGCCTCCGTCGATGGTGACTGACGAGCACGGCTCGCGACAGGCCAGGTACAGCACCGACGAGCTCTTGCAGACGGAGCGCATCTCCAGCGAGGCCGGTCCGCCGCCCGAAACGTCCGCGGGCGGGCTGTCATCCTGAGAGAGAGGGGGAATGACGGTCATCAGTTATCACTCAGTCGTAGGTATGGTGATTAGAGAGGGTGTGAAAAACGTCTATCAAGCTGTAGTTTATTTTTATGATAGTTATTTGTTTAAGCGTTGAGATTGAAGCTGTTTTAATAGTTATTTTTGAAGTTCAAATGCTTACTAGGTCAAATGCTCGTATATAAACTAATAAGCAACTATAAGTAAATTTGGCTTCGTGAGTGATGAAGAATGGCCTGACTTCCTGTCGAATGTCAGAGGGATGAGACAGTCAGAGCTGTCGGAAAACGGCTGCGGAAAATACCGCCTCGCATTCCACACAGGGAGAAAACGCGATCCCAGACGGGAGAGATTTAATGATGATGCTAGTCCGGGGAAACGGACCTTTAGTTGTCATCGAGAAGTGTCTGGGAATTCTCACATTTGTACCTCGCATGCACGATAAAACCGTTAACGTCCACATGATCGGTCATCAGCCTTTGACGCGACACCGGAAAAATGCAGCGATTGTGTAGCTATTGCATGCTGGAAGCCTGTAACAAATATTTGTTCTCTGAACCAATGATTTTCATTACGGAAAACCACGTTGCCGACTGTCCCATGTTATTAGATAAAATCGATGCTTGTATCATTATCCATATTTATTGCCAAGCCTGTATACCTTCTGGAACGTGCTACCGCTGGTCTGGCTCAGAAGAAGTGAAAGTTGGCGGCACTGCCCTGCATTCAGCAGAAGTGGCATTCGGTGGATGGCGGTGTTCCAGGCAGCGCTGCTAATCGGTGGGTGAGCGGCCGACCATCTCTGGGGCCCGGCGCGCCGCGCGCGAGGTGACGACTCTCTCGCCACCCCGGCCCCCAGCGGCCAAGGTTGTGGTCGGATTGGGTTGGCCTTCGCAGGGTATATGATGCGGGGCCCATCCCGGCACGACACGCGATGTCATTCACCCCCGACGTCCGGCAATCGGTGCCAATCGGTCATCGTCCGTCCACACTTGACAGCGCTTGGCGCGAGAGACCACCGCGACGGCTCGAACAGGGCACCTGAGTCTCAATTTAGACTGCGGCTATGCGCGAACCTGGCCGTGATATTTCTGTAACCAGCAATGGCCTTATATGTAAGTGGGAATGATAAGCTCTGCAAACTGACGGCGTCTATGTGTATGCCTACTTTCACGTCGTTGTCCGAGTTCATTCAAGGCGTGCAAAACTGGTAGCGCTTGTTATAGATGCCTACAATCTGCCGTATCATCACCAGACGCGATAGGTCAGTTCTGTAGTCATTTCGCTGAATGTCTAATTACCAGAGGTGGCCGCTGCAGCGCATGAGAGAGCTCGACAAGTGTAAGCTTTGCACCCTTCACGTGTGTTTTACGGCTCAGCTACCGGACTTCATCCTGCATCCATTCAAACAGCCCACACATTCGGCGAACACAGGGCGAAAGTACAAATACCATACCAAGGATAAGTGTCATCTCGGCGGGACGGCTGTGCAGTGGCATTGTTTCAGTTGAGCCGGCCCGGATGCGATGATAGCGAGACCTCAGCGTCCTTGCACAATCCCCTCTAGGACTGCGGACGGCGCGCGCGCTGACGTCTCTCCTCACCTTGGCTTCGTCGCTGTCGGCGGGTTTTCCGCCGCGGAAGAAGTCTCGGATGGACTGCACGCGGATGACGGGCCCGCGGTGGCCGCGGTTGGCGCGACAGCGGGCCTCCGCCGGGCCCGGGCTGGCCGCGGGTCCGGAGGCCGGGCCCGGAGTCGAGCTCTGACCCGGCCTCTCCGGGCCGGAATCGTCTCCGGTGCCGGCCGCTGAGCGCTCCTCCTGACGTCGACGGTTCCGCTTCTTGCTCCAAGTTTTTGCAAAACCTGCCGATCAAAAGCAGAGGTCGCCCATTAAGCTTTTTATCGAGACACCTCATTCATTTTACCTAAATAGACATTACCTGAATGACGTTTTTTTCCACCAACGATATCCAATATGTTTCGTTGTACGCGACTTGCAGCATCAAGCTGACTTTGTGACATTATGGGTCACCAGTATGGCAACATACAGTGTAGCCATTACACCCCTGTAATGTGTTTAGTGTAAATGGCTCACTATTATTTGTAAAAACACTTACGCCGTTACCGTGGCTCAGCATTCACAGATCACAATATCTTAACCCTCGCCCATGTAGGGGGGGGGGTTGGTGCAACCCCCCCTGAGGTTTTTCGGAAATAGTGCAAAAACGGCGGCGCGCAACGCCGCCAAATTTTGGGTACCTTATGGGGCAAACGTTGCGCATCTTTTGATAAAAAAAAAATTGACCGGGTCATGTCAGGTCACGGAGTTATGACGTCACAAAGGGAACAGCCTCCGGCCGGATTTTCACAAACTGAGTGCCAACGCCCGAGGTTTCCTGCCGGTGGTACGGACATCGGTTGATGGATCGTGATGAAACTTCCCATGCATGTTGGGGCAAGTATTGGCTATCATATGGTATAAAAAACTTGACCGGGTCAGGTCAGGTCACGGAGCTATGACGTCACAAGAGGAACAGCGTCCGGTACTATTTTTGAAAAGCGCCCGAACCACTATTTTGCTAATTCTTGTCACCTCAATGGGAATATGCAGCAATATTAGCTTCTATAGGGAGCAAATGGACCTTCCAAATCCAAAAATACACTCAGATTTCAAAAATTTAAATTTTGATTTTTCGAATTTCTGCCGCCGACTGTGACCTTGCCGACTTCCGGCGCTCCCAACGCGCCATTTTTAGAGCTAGGGAAACGAAATACATACCAAACGATAGAGAATTGATCAAGGAACACGATAGTGAAGGTTTCAAGTCGATATCTCCCACCGTTTTGCCGCAATCGCCGCGGAAAGTTGAAAAAAGTATATTTTTCCGAAAATTTGACCTTTGACCGGTCAAAAGTAGGTCAAATGTTGACCTAGGACCAAAAAATATACCACCAATCGCGAGATCTCGGCGAGAGCAATCCGTTGGTCTTTTCCGCTAAGCTCTACGACGCTCCGTTTTCAAACGCCAAGGGGGGTCGCACCAACCCCCCCCCCTGCATGGGCGAAGGTGGCAGATCGCTGTTTACGGGCGAGGGTTAATCCACATGGCCCATATCTACGAATAATAACAACGAGGACTGGTTGTGGTAATTGTCTGGTTCTTACCCCTGGGGAAGCACAGCCAATGGTAATTCCCACTCTCACCTGCCTCCAACATTAGAATGACATCACATTAAATCACGAGAGAACGCTCGCACCTGGCTTTCAGAGTATCACTCCCACCTACGCCGTTTTTTATGCTTATAAAGCATGAATAGTCGGATAGTTTTCGCCGACATAACGGAGAAGTCGCGTGCTCTTTGATCCGCTAGATGTGATTCAGAATGTAATTTCCTTTTTGATCTTATTCTCTTGGAAGAAGTAACGGGGAATAAAACGCAGATTTGTCCAAAACCCATCCGAATAGTGCTCAGATGTCCCGTAAATGCATGTCTTTATGTGGTCAAGAACTGCCACAATTCGACTTAATGCATTTGGTGTACAAGATAAACGGATCGAAGCCAGTTTTGTGAATGCGCTGCAATTGCAGTATTGTATAAGAAGGCAATTGGGAAAACATGGATTGAGCGGCCTTGTGTCATTTGAAATGCTGAGAATAAGGACCGTGTGTTATGTCGTGCATGAAAAAAGATGAAGGTTATATCGTATGCGAGCTAGCGTAAGATTAGAAAGCACAGTGCACAGCCTATGTCAAAATCCCAACTGTGAAAACTTTGTAGCTGCATATCGGTCAGGTATCAGATAAAGAAATTTAATGGCTGTGGCCGTTAATTTCATTAAGCTTTTTCTAAACGTTTGATAAATACTCCGTCTTCTTGGACGATTTTCGTAATCAAACGATCTGCCGTTGCCTTACCACAGCATTATATAAAGGCATGACGGGCATGACGTTATGCCCTGCTTATGGCGAATGGTTTCGAATCAGGTTGATCAGAATGAAACACTTGTGCAATGTGCAGCACTTTGCAGTGCCAGTGACTGTCTTCTTTATTAGGTTTCAGACGACTATTGCGCTAAGGTAAGTCGCTAAGTCTTGGCGCTAATCCGGTGGCATTTTTGACAGTAGAGCTCATAAATATGTTGCCAAGTCAAAAAATATGAGTCATGATTTAAATGGTTAACTTTAATGATAACGAACAGCTTTTATGTAGACCAACTGTCCCTGCAAAATGATAAGTTCTTTGCATGGCTCAGTATAAACATAACCTACCCTTCCTCATGAATTTTACCTAACTAATGTGGTGCATATTCACACGCAAATACTTATATTTATTTAATTAGCAGCCGTCCTTTTGGAACATTCTTTTCCATGTGTGCATAAACAACACGCACACATGCAATTAGTTTTTTTTCTCCTGCCGTGTTGTTTTCCTTTCCGGTCAGTGGGTCAGCTGATCTCATCTCATCTTCCGTCGGCACCGTGTCGAGCTTTCCAGCTGATTTGTTTCTGGTCACGATCCCACTGGGCTCCCTGCGCGCACTTTCCACTCTGAGGTAGCGCGGCTCGCGTGGAGTGTGTGTCCGCTTCATCTTTCTGTGACAGAACGGGCGCACACACCCGGAGGCCTGTGCTACTTTGGGCCAGCAAGTGCGTGCAAATTACTCTCGAGATAAGTAGCTTTCGCAGCGGCAGGTGCGAGCAAGTGTGCCGCGTGATTTGATATCCCATCCGTCTCTGCTCCGCCGCGGGCTCCGACAGTGGAGGAAGGAGCTCAGCTCGCGGTGTGGAACCTCTCCCAGTGACCCGGCTGTTAGATGAAGCGATTACGCCGCGGACGGAGCGTAAGCAAACAGCCCGTACATACAGCACGCCAACTGCTTGTAAACAGTGCCGGAATTCCAGTGCTGGATCTTTTTTTCTAGATCTTTTAGTTTCCCGGTGGTTATACCCGGTGCACCGCAGCTGTTATTTTTAACGGCGCCGTTTTTGGTGTGGCATGTTTACTCGAGGGTGGACGATTCGATTTGTATGGCCGGCTGTGCTCAGTGACTGCAGTTACTCCTCGCCTCTCCGTCTGGTGTATTGGGCCGTATTGTAGTCGGAAACTACCTTGTGGAACGGTCCAGTCCACAGATCCCGCCTCGTTTGTGGCACACGGCCCTTCGTAGCGCGCCGCTCGGGCGACACATTTGTTCTCGGTCCAAAAAACTCTCTTCTTTCCAGATAAACAGAGCCAAGCAATAAACTGCGAGGGAATTCCGGCCGAGATTGTCGGAGCCGCGTGGCCGGCGGTGAGCGCCGAGCCTGTCCTCGATTTGGCCTCTGCCAGGATCCGCCTCCATAGCCGGCTTGGCGGGCGTCCCACCTACTTAGCGGGCGGGCGTCGGCCCCATCCCCCGGCCGGTCCGGCCCCCGCCCGCGGCGGGCCGCCCACTGACCGCAGTCGCCGTCCCCCGCCCTCCTCAGAGCGCACACTGCCCTCATTGACGTCATGTCATCCGCTGTCCACTGGTGACTGGTTAGCCCTCAGTTATCTCGGCCATCCCGGCCATTTGCATCAGGTACCGGCCTCTCCCCACCCCTTTCAGCGTCGAATACCGCGTTCCTTCCGCGGCCCCTCCCTCTGCTCCCTCCTAGCGGTCTGGACCTCATACCGGTAGGGTAATGCTACCCGGAAGATGGGGACTGAGAAGGTATGATAGGATGAAGCAACAGCGGCGAGGCAAAGGGATGAAAACGGGACGGTGACTCAGAATAGCTGTAAATGTCATGAATATACCGGAAATAGGTAAGATGTAAGTCATGGTGAACTTTTCTTTTGATGTAGATAAGGATACATGTAAAATGATCTACTTATGAGTGATGCTATATATAATAGAGGATATGTATCGGATTATGATGTAATTGGAAGAGGAGTAGAAAACAAACAGGCAAATCCTGTATTGTTCAATGCGGCAGCTGTTCTATTACAGACTGTCGCTGGGTGGTTTGGAGACTACAACACAGGAAAAGAACGTACCTAACCAGGAACTACAACGCGACAACAAGATCATAACAGGAACTTCGCCAGCGCCAAAAATGTCACAGAAACAGCATTGTGTAAAAAGTATCGAAGGTTATGGGACTTAGTAGATGGATTGGCCTGTAAATCATTCCCAGTGTCGCTATCACTGAGCATTTTACGGACGCGCTGCTGACGCGCTGAGCGGCTCGCTGCTCTAACTGGAGGCGGCACGTTCCTCCGAGCGGCTCTGGGATGACCACCCTGACGGGCCTCCCATTCGAGCCACAACACACACGACAGCGAAAGTTGCCCAATTGGACGGCATGAATGCGGTCGGCCGGCCACTGACCAGGTGGCCTCGTCGGGAAAAAATGAACGAAACTTGGCGCATGTCTGCTGCGATTTTCTGAATTGCTGCGCATGAAGGACATGTTACGCCCTTGTGTTTGGCTATTTTTAAGTTAACCATGTATTCCTAAAAAATATGTAAGAATCATACGATGTGTCCGGCTTTCATAAAGCTCATCGGACATGGAATGGTCACAGCTTCAGCGAGAAAGTTGTTATCGATTTTTCCACTGAAAGCTCCTGGCCGGGAGCTGCCGTGGAGAGCTGGCTCGCGTCCGGCTTCCGCCGTCGCCGCGGGGCCGTCCAGCGGCGATGGGGCCTCGATAGGCGAGCGGATGCTACTCTCCGTATCTTCAGCCGACCAGACGTCTGTCGATCTCAGAAATCCACCCAAAGATGAGCACCACCCCACACACGCCACCCCGTCGCCGCGTGCCGCACGGGCGGGTCTCGAGCTGCGGCCAGCTCACTTGGAATGAATTGCGGCGCAGTGGCTGCTCCTCTTCCGG